CAGACAGTTGTGCAAGTTTTCTTTGTTGATAGGTGACAAATACCTGTGAAACTATTATAATTGAATGTCACAAGCATTACAACAATTGAGTACAAATCGATCCCTTTGGGTCTACAAATCTCCATAGAAAAATGTTTTCTGCACTTCAACTAGTGCAAACCACTCTCTTAAACTACACATTCCAGCTTAGGAGTTTACGAAGACTTGAGCCAAATCAACCAGGTGCTACTTGAACATGTCACACCAAAAACACTACCAAAGCATGTGAGTTTGCAGGGATTTCATATGAGTTTAATGGAGTCAGGACTCGGAGTCGACATGCAGTTTTTTAAATAATGCTCGCGATTATAAGTCCCATTATTGTACATGTACAATTGTCATTGCGAAAAAATGAATTCAATATTTCCCAAAGGGGTAAATGTTTACTTATCGTCAATGTCAAGCTCCTAAATGTGACCCATGTAAAAGGTCACGCATTTACTCCCCATTAGCAATCTAACTTATGTTCACTTTGTAAATTCAAATGCTATTGAAATATAAATTGTTCTGTTTCCAAGAGGCAAACAATAACCAATTCAATGTATGACTCCACTATTTTTTTTTTTTTAAGTTGTTACTATTGCATTTTCCTTCTAATCAGTTGTCACTAGTTTGCATTGCTGGTTGTCTAAAAACCTATGAGGCAACAGTTACTTCTTGCTTTTTCATAGTAACCCTAGCTCATGAAAGTTGGACAAAGGTGATCTAGCACGGTGTATACAATTTTTAGTTTTTCTTTTTCTCACCGACTAGAACACTTACAATGGTCCAATTACAATAAATTCAACTCAAAACGAAAAGAATAAATAAGTAAATTGGTTTTTGCTTGCTGCCCTTATTTACAGCTTTCTTTTATTGAATAAAACCAACACAATGCTTTATGGGAATAAGAAATAAAATACTGCAAACAATAAAGCAAGATCCCGAAAGATTACCTCAATCGGACTTAGTACACCCCACACTAGGTCTCCTCTTCCAATGGGGCACGGGATCAATGGTCAATCTCGGATCTTCCAAATATGAGAAAGCCATGGCTAAACCCCTTTAAAAATATGAGAGCATGAACTATGTGATCAAGCCAAGGCCTCATTGCCTTAGGCAATTTTATGAGTGAGGTTTGCCCACTTCTATAGTCTCTTATGGGGGCGTGCCTCCTGTTTCTCTTTAGAAAGATGAGACCTTCAAGAGAGAGAAGAATTTTCCAGAGGGTGGCATGACACCCTAGAGAGAGAGATTTTTGGTGTAGAGGATGCCCCTATTTATAGGCTTTTCAAGGGGATAGGGTTCCACAGGGATAACCATTTTTGTAGATTGAGCATGATCAATTGATCATAGGAGACCTAAGAGATATAGGCATCTAATCCTTGGATCAACCATCATGATTCAAAAGATGATGTTGAACTTTATCCTTCAGTTTCCTAAACCATTATCCCATCAAAAATAAAATATGAAAAATATATATCTTTGTATATATCGGTTTTATTTATACCTATTTCTTTTAGAAGTCCTAATCTCTTTAGGATTCCATAAGGCATATCTTGTTTATTTATATTTCTTTTAGAAGTCCTAATCTCTTCAGGATTCTATAAGGCATATCTTGTTCTTAATTGACTTCGTAAACAAGACATGATCCAGATCAATAGATCCTAAATAAGAGGATCTCAAAATTGTAAAAACTTCCCCACTTTAAGTGCGGCGTGCCAACTAGAGCTCCCATAATAGGACCCACGCACATCCCAATTGGGTCTTGATGGCCCCCCATGGGCCCTCATCGATTATATTAATTTTTAAAATAAAAAATTGATTTTTAGCATTTGAGAAATAAACTTTATTTTTTTCTTATTATTTAAATAATGAAAATTGAATAATTTTTATTTTATAAATTCATTTTACAAAAATAAAATATTCAGAGACTCAAGAAATTAATACAATAGATGAGGGCCATCAAGACCCCATTGGGATGTGCGTGCGCCCACTATGGGAGCGCTAGTTGGCACGGCCTACTTAAAGTGGGGAATTCTCTATAATTTTGAGATCCACTTATTTAGGATCTATTGATCTGGATCATATCTTGTTGACCAAATCAATTAAGAACAAGATATGCCTTATGGAATTCTAAGGAGATTAGTACTTCTAAAGGAATATAAATTATCAATATATGCTTTATGGAATCCTAAAGAGATCAAGACTTTTAAAAGGAATAGGTATAAATAAAACTGATTTATACAAAAATAAATATTTTTTATATTTTATTTTTAATGGGATAAATGTTTAGGAAACTGAAGGATAAGGTTCAACATCATCCTTTGAATTATGATGACTGATCCAATGATTAGATGACTCAGATCTTTCACCCATAGGTCTCTTATGATCACTTGGTCAGGATCAATCTACAAGAATGTTATCCCTATGGAACCTTATCCCCCTAAAAAGACCATAAAATAGAGGCCTTCTCACCTCTCATTCTCTCCACCAAAAATATATATATCTCTCTCTTTCTCTCTAAACTCCCTAAGGTGGCACGTCACCCTCTGGAAATTTCTTCTCTCTCTGTTAAAGTTCTCTCCTCTCTAAAGAGAGAGGGACACACCCCCATAAGAGATCATAGAGATGGGCACACCTCACTCATAAAATTGCCTAAGGAATTGAGGCTTTGGCTCGATCAAATAGTTCTTGCTCTCATATTTTTGTGGTGATTTACCCAGGGCTTTTCCATATTTGGAAGATCCGAGATTGACCATTGAACACGTGCACCATTAGAGGAGGAGACCCGGTGTGAGGTGTACTAAATCCGGTTGAGGTAATTTTTTGGCATCTTGCTTTATGGTTTGCAGTATTTTTTTTCCTCTTAAGTAAGAAAGCAAACAAGTGTGGCGAAGTCACTTCCGGGGGAAGGGACTAGCGAACTCTCGCTCCACCTGTACTCTAAAAAGGGAGGCCCAGTCTGTAACGAGAAGCAAGTGTAGCGAAGTTTCTTATTCCCATAAAGTATTGTGTTGGTTTTACTCAATAAAATAAAGTTGTAAATAGAGGTAACAACCAAGAGCCGATTTATTTATTTATTCCTTTCTTTTGAGTTGAGTTGATTGTAATTGGACCATGGCAAGTTCTAGTCGGTGAGAAAAAGAAAAATAAAAAATTGTATACACCGTGCTAGATCACATTTGTCCAACTTTCATTGGTATCAGAGTGAGGTCTCTTGCTGCCATCTCTCCTTTATTTCATTGTTTTGGTCGGTTGAAAGTTACAGATTTGAAAGACAATGGCTTTGTGGTCGTATGGGAAACCTCTCGAAAGATTAATGGTATGATTCCTACACCGAAAAGGTATTCTGCAGAATAGGGTATTCAGTGTTGTTTTGGAGTATTGACATGAACAAGAGGACGAGGTATTTCTCTAATGCATACTTCAGTGATTTTTTGTGTTTTTGAGAGTAGGATCTTCTCGTAAAATTTCAGTGGGAGATCATGGGGAATTTGAGGGTTATGGACTCATCATTGAGGTGCCAATCCTGAACTTGCAAAATCCAAGAACTGTAAGTTTTGTGAATTTTTGCACCAATCAAATTGACTTAGCAATTCCCATGACCTAACAGTTAGGAATTAATATTTTTGAAGCACTCCATCTTCTACTGTGGACTATAATCCACACTTGCTTTTTCAAATTCCTCAGCAGCTCCCATGACCCACAAACCACTGCAAGGGTTCGTGATTGGGCTACTAAAGTCATCCAATAGGTAAAGAGACATAATCCCAACCTAAATATTACATGTTATCCCCTAGAGACGAACTCATAGTCACCAAGACCGGATGCGACCATAGCTCTATGGTGCATAGGCGTAATCGCTCGCACATGTGCACACTACACCCTCAATGGTGTCTTGCTTTCCCGATACGGTTATCATATGCACATGTCGTGTGATGGTTCAATGATGAGCTTTCGCCCTCGTTTCTAGAGTCCATCAATCATACACAAGGGTCACATAGTCCCTTAGCTCACTCCCTTAGGCAACTCCGACCTCATCAAGGGATAACCCCATAAACCCTCATCGGTTTTATTTTATGCTCAAGTATTTAGGGGTTTTCCAACTTGTCAGGCTTAGCTCATCAAGCCAAGTCCGAGTATTGGCAAAAAACATTTGTCTATCATGGCCCACAAAGGACCACACTCCCACTGAGCTTATATTTCACTATATTACATATTGATTACATCCTCACATAAGGCCTTTAATGGCCATAGAAACCCAACAGCTCGATCCAACTTCAAAATTTCACCCTAGGCCTATAATTCTATTCTTTAATGAATAAAAAGATTATATTCCATAAGAAACTCTCAAAATCTCAGATTTACGAGACTTTGATTTTTTTTATCTTTTGTTTTTGTACAAGACTTTGAATCTTAAAATAGTTTGTTCGAAATTTTTGAAAATGAGATGAACTTTTCATCAATCTTTGTGCTGTTTTATTTTTTACATAAAATTACACGGTTTTACTTTTTTATTGTTTTCCTATTTTCCCCAAAATTTTGGGAATTTTATGAGTCCTTTTTTGGGGGACTCAGGCAAGACTTGACAAATCCACGCAGGACTCACTGGGCTGACACGTTTTGGACACCCACGGGGTTTGAGAGCAAGTCCTGCTTTACAACATTGCAAATGAAAGCATCTAGAATTTCGACAACATATATCCATGAAGAAAAATATATAGATCTCGCATGCTCTATATGCTTAGTGTCACAGAGGATCAATTACATTTTATACATATCAGCAAAGAAATTGGACACATCTTGCAGAAAAAAAGAGCTAATATATATGAAAAGAACTTCCACCTTCTATAGTACTAGGGTGTTGTAGTGGGTATTAGAAAAAGTCCCACTACTGTTATAGTAATTCTTGAAAATTTTTATCAGATATGACAAACCATGAAAACTGCACAGCAAGATGTCATACAGTAAATACTAACCGCCTCTCTTTTTTCATGTTGTTGTTCTTCAAGCCCTTGAAGAGTTCCGTCTAATCGCTTCCTATATCATACACAAACTGATAAGAGCATTTGCAACCGAACCAAAGTTTGGTATATGCAACAAAAAGTCCATCCAAATGCAGAATTTACAAAAGATTAACAATGAATCAAGAGTCTAATAAAAAATTCACTCCAAAATGTGGTTTCTCTCTGCAACAACTTATGCAAGTATCATTCTTAATGAATGGAGCGGATTCTAATCTCCTTTTTTTTCTTCTTTATTAATAATGACTAAAATTATAGTTTCATAATAATTTAGAAAGTTATGATTCCAATGCTTCAATGAAGTTCTGCATTCCTCTTCTTGACTTGTCTAATTGAGATAGGGGCTAAAGAAACAAGTACAACTATACGAAAGTTATCTACTTAGTATCTCCCTTTATCTAACTTCAAAGTGATGCACGTGAGATGCATGACTACTAATCCGCAACAACAAAAATTCTTTTATCTTGTCAATGATCCAAATCACCCCAATTGCAAGGCAATTGTACTATTCAGAATTAGGTCATGCAATTGGCATTAGTCAGGTATTGTTGGTTGCCAGAAATGTTTGGGCACTTTGAAGGATTCTGTTTTCAATGAACATGTAACAAACTTTAAAATAATAACTTAAAAAACAACATAGAATTGGTAAGAACTTGAACGCCAAACAATTAACACACACTTGGAATTCTATCACATATTTCAGAAATACAGAGAAAAAAAAGAATAATATCATTATCAGCACCCATGATTCTGATTAGATATATCAAATGTTCTAGAAAGCAATATTCCACGGTGTTCACTCATAGGTGAATTGGTATACATGAAATACTAAGTAAATTTCCTTACAGCATTCTATCACAAATCTAGGCTTGGTAATTGTACCGGCCCGGCCCAGGAGCCTACAGGCTTGTCTAGAGCCGTACTGAGGTCAAGGGCCTTGAACTAGGGCTGGCCCTGATAGTTACTAGGTGGTATGGGCTCAGACCAGCTTGGCCCTATTATTAGCTTGGGTATAGACAGGACTGAACCTAGCCTGGTTTTATATAGGGCATATTTAAAAAACATATAAAAATGTTTAAAGAGTGAATTGGATAGGATTTGAATCTGACTAATGGTAACTAGCATAAAGCCCCCAATTTATTTCAATAATATAAAATAGAATGTTCTATACGTGCATAATTACAATCTTTCTCTCAAATAGATAAAACCCAATATCTGTCTCTCTCTTTTACATTGCTAAGCAGGTATTTTCATTCATGCTGACACATCACGTATCGACAGATGTTGACACTTGGACGACGTGTAGACACTTCTGGACTTTGGGATAAAAGGAAAAATGCTATGAGGAACAAGAGGGGGTTTTGAACCCAAGACAACTTGTGCAAAGCTTGTGTGATCTACAAATATGAATTATTTATCATATATACACAAAAGTTTCCTATTTTAGAGATGTGCTTTGTCATACAGGCTATCTAGTCTGAAATATTGGACACTTGGACAAGAATCAAATTCAAACAATTGCGTCAATGTTCAGGAGACAGCTCTTAAAAATAAATCCCAATCTGTCCATCTGCTAATCCACAAACCTAGTTGCTCTCACAGCAACCCAAAGCCTCTCTCTCTCTCTCACCCCCTTTGCCCCCCAAACACATACACAACCAAAAACTTTTGTATACTTTTTTATTTTTGAAAGAAGTATACATTTTTCCTATTTTATGTAACTTCTATTTCATACTTTCTAAAAAACCGTATTATTTTCAATATATGTATATATATATATATATTCCCTACAAAAGAAATTTTTATCCCCAAGTATTGGGTTTATGTATTTAGGATTTATTATCTCGTTAGGATTTATGCTCAAATCGTGTTCTTTGAAGCCAATGCTGCAAATTAAAGGTATGGATTTTATTTTATTTTATTTAACTTAAACGTATAGGTGCAGATTTTACTAGTTATTATGGAAATCATTGTATAAAGGTCAAATTTCTCGAATTAAATTTCATTTTATTTTTTATTTGGATTGGGATGAAATACGGTTTATTTGTGATTTTTTAGTTTTATTTTATTTTATTTGTGATTAATAGTTATTATGGAAATACATTGTTTATGGTATAAGCTCTGTTGAAACTTGAAAGAGATTTGACAATCTCAACACAATTTCACCTCACAAATTGTTATAAAAAAGAATAAAAACTATTGAAACAAAATCGCAAAATTTTGGTCAGATTTTTCATCCAATGTTGACAAAGGGCTCAAAGAACTCTTAGATTATAGCTCAAAGACCACCCAAATTATCACAATTTATACAAAATCTCAAATCCCTAAAACAAAAGCTTAATGAACCCAGATTAAGGCTCAATCCCCAAACTTAATTCACGACAGAAAACCTCGTTTAGTGTTTCATGTCCACCAATGTCTTCATCTTCGTTGGGGTTGTGTCCACCATCTCACCATCTTATTCCTCTGTCCCTGCACTCCTGCGTTTGCTCCCCCCCCCCCCATCTCTCTTTGTTGTTCTATGTGTTTCTTTCTCTGTTGTTCTCTGCATTTACATCTCTCTCTCTCTCTCTCTCTCTCTCACACACACACACACACACACACCCATTCAAATTAAGTGAGTTAAGTCTTTAACATTGCCCCACGTCCTGATCTAAAATGGTGCAATCTTAAAGTTTTTAATATGGTGGGATATTTAATGTGGTTATTTAATATGGTGTACTTATGGATATAAGATCTAATATGGTGCAATCTATGGATCTAATATAGTGGGATATTTAATACGTTGCAATCTTAGTTTCTATATACATTTGAAATTATCAACTTTATCATTTTATTTTTTTATTTCTAAAGTTTAATTTAATTGTGTATAATGCAAATTAAACACATTTTTTTTTTTTTGAATCTGGTTAACTGTATTGTACGTCAAGGGGATCCTCTATCCCCATTCCTATTTGCTATATCAGCTGAGGTTTTCAGCCGGTCACTAGGTCGTCTTGACCAAGCTGGACTCCTTATGGGTTATCGGACTTCACATCATGGGCCAATTGTGTCGCAGCTGCAATATGCAGACGACACACTAGTCTTTCTAGACACCTCCCCACCAGAAGTGCAAAACCTATGGCTCTATCTCAAGTGCTTCCAAATGGCCACTGGCTTCAAGGTCAATATGGACAAGTCTAAAATGATGGGTGTAGCAATTGGTAACAAACAAATCAGAGAGCTCATACCTTCCTGAGGATGCAAAGTGGAGGACCTCCCAACAACCTACCTAAGCCTACCTCTGGGATTGGGAAAGCCGAAAGACAGGCATTGGTCCCATGTCATCGACAAGGTAGATAGAAGGTTGGCCGGATGGAAAGGGAGACATCTCTCCCAAGTGGGAAGAACCATCCTTGCAAACGCACTTGTGTACCTCATGTCTCTCTTTCAAATACCTGCTTCAGTGGCCAACCGCCTCGATCAACTAATGAGGAACTTCCTCTGATCAGGGCAGGCAGACAAAACTAAGTTTCATCTCATTTCTTGGGACAAAGTATGTTTACCCAAGAAGTAGGGAGGTTTGGGAATCGGACTTCTGAGAAAGTAAAACCTCGCCCTCCTAGGAAAATGGTGGTGGCGCTTCGCTACCCAAACGGATACACTTTGGGCTCAGGTACTTCGAAGAAAGTACAACATCCCAGACCATACATGGGTGCTTGAGAGAAAACCATGGTCCAATGCACCAGGAGCATGGAGATCCTTTCTCTCCTCCCTCGCATTAATCAAGAAATTCACTAGGTTTCACCCAAGACAAGGCACGAGAGTGCGTTTTTGGTCTGATCTATGGATAGGTCACGCACCATTGAGGGAATGTTACCCTTCTCTCTACTCAATAGCAATTAATAGAGACTCCACAATTGACGAAGAGTTGATTTCACAAGGAGATAGAAGAGGGTGGCAGCCCGTATTTAGAAGGAATCTGTCAAAGGAGGAAACAAACCACCACTTCTCTCTCTCTCGGCTTTATTGCACGGTACTTTTATCCCTATCCAGGGAAGAGGTAAGTTGGTGTGGTCCCTCGTCCCATCAAGGGAATTCATGGTGGCCTCCTTTACAACAAACTCACCCAACCCCCTACTTTCCCCCTCAGCCCCAATTTGGTGCTTTCACAGGTATGGCAACTATAGCACCTCCCAGGGTGCAAACATTCAATTGGATAGCTGCATCCCATAAGGCACTAACTATTAATCATCTACAAAAGACGGGGATCCCTATTCCAAATAGGTGTTGCATGTGTTTAAGCGAGGAGGAATCCAACCACCACCTTCCTTCATTGTAAAGTTGCACACAAACTTTGGAGTCTCCTGTTGTAACTGTTTGGTGTACACTGGGTAATATCACCAACGATCAAGCTTTTGTTGCCTTTGAACCATGCCCCACAATGGCCGAAAGCCAGAAAAATCTTGAGGAAGGCAATAGTGGCAGCAACAGTATTGACGCTTTGGAAGCAAAGAAACACCAGAATCTTTCGTGGAAAAATCAACCTGGTCCCAGCTCTGTTTCAAAAGGTTACATCCTTAGTAGCCTTTTGAGTGTCAAACCATCACCACTTCAAAGGAATCCCAATGAATTCCTTCCTATTTCAATGGGAGAACATTCTTCTACACAAACCAAAGAAGACGAAAATTTCAGATACCTGGAAACCACCCCCTTAAGGAGCAATCAAATTGAACTTTGATGGGTGCTCCTTGGGCAATCCCGGCCATGCAGGTGCGGGTGGTGCATTTAGAGACCACCAACACAATATCCTATTCACCTACTCATAATACCTAGGAGTCCAAGATTCACAGTATGCTGAAGCATTGGCTCTTCTCAAAGGACTGCAAAGCATCGATCAATCCTGAGGACAAAATCTTATAGTGGAGGGAGATGTCAAAAATATCATCACTTGGGCCTCTAGGAAAGTTAACCCCCCCTAGTACCTCATGCCTCTGTATGGTGAGATTGAACATCTTTGCAGGGATATGCCCGTCG